TTGCATAACAATGTGCATTCGGGCCCAAGCAGGCTAGGATAGGGGAGGAAAGGAGGTGCCCAGAAACTATGCCGCTAGCTGGCGACGACGGTGGTTGAGATTTGCCGAAGGGACCGGTGGGCGAAGGCGCAAGTCACCGCACTCACTCTACGCATGCTTCTCCACCATTGAGAGCCAACCAACCCCTCCACCATCCGCCTTGCAAGCTCCCCACACCAACCACCTGACACGGCTGCTGCGTGAGCACCACCTTGCTGCCTACTGAAACAAGCATGTCGAGAGCTCCTCGCTGCTCCCGGTCATCCATGAGCCCAAGGAGAGGTCCTCGCTGCTGCCACTCATTAGCTTTTCCCGCCTGCATCCTTCGGCAACAACGAGACGAGGAGAAGGGAGACGGGGAACATCAACTGGCGGGTAGAGTTTCACCTCCCGAACCACCCGTAAAAGCGTGTGGTGGGGTTGGGGGGGGGGGAGGGTGTTGTTTCCACTTTTGCATTATTTGAAATTAAGTCACACTCTTGGTTATAAGAATCTTTTTTTATTTTGTGTTTTGTCTAACGACCTAAAGCATCATAGCTCGATTGAAAAATGAAGTTGCTTAACACACTTACCGTATGGTTGATTATAAGAATCTTGGCATAGCAAAATATATTGTGGTTCAAATGAGTCCGAATTTGCGGAAGCAATGTTTAATGTCTTGTTTAGATTAGTATGAGTCTTAAAGTTTTCAAGTATTTGTAAGAGTTGAATGATTTTCGAGAGATGTCACAGTCTATTGTGTACTTTCCCTTTCCCTATTTTTGAAGGGGCAAGAGGCAAATAAGAGACCCCCTACTCCGTGGGTAGGGCCCTTAGTGTTGCGCAAACACGCACCCCGCAGCCTCGAGGAGCCCCCGTGGGCCAACACATATATGTCACGCTTCTCACTGCGTACGATGTGATTTTTTGGTTCTTTTTGGATCGGTTTTTATGTTCGGTTGGTTTTTCTTAAAATACTTTCTATTTTTTTTAAAAATGTTCAGATACCTAAAAATGGCCGTAAATTTTAAAACAATGTTCGCAATTTTGAAAACAATGTTCAGAAATTCAAGGATATTTGCGAGGATTTGTAAAAAAAATTAAATTCATTTTTTTACAAGTTCAATTTTTTTCGCGAACTCAAAAAATATTCAGGAAGTTGGTTTTTTTTGCAAATCCACAAAATATTTCCGATTTCAGAAAATATCCAGGAATTCCAATATATTAGCAATTCAAAATATGTTCATAAATTTCAGAAATGATTGCAAATTCAGAAAATGTTGACGAATTTGAAAAAATGTTCCAAACTTAAAAAATGTTCAAGTATTCAAATAATGTCATTAATTCAAGAAATATCCATGTAAAAGAAAATTATTAAAGCATCTCAAAAAATGTACCTGAATTGCCCAAATGATCACAAATTTAAAATGTCCATGGATTTGAAACTTTTCAAACAATATAATCAAATGTTATAAATAATCCCCAGATTGAAAACCCTAATAAAAATGTAAAGAATAAGAAAATGAAATGTTTTTTTCTACAAAAACATAGAGAGGGGGAAAAATCCGATTCAGAACCTCCCCTACCAAACCAGTGGTAAAATGAATAGGAAAGCCCACAAATGGGCAGGCCCATATGCATGGACTCTATTTAGTGTGTGCGTGGGAAAATATCACGGAAACCAACTAAAAAAAGCCACAGTTGACAAGGAAAATACCCTGATACACCTGGTTGTATTTGCACCTGATAAAAAAATCCATGATTTTTTTAGCAATTCAGAAAAGGTCAGAAATCTTTGAAACTTTTTTAACAATGAACTTGACCTACTGATGCACTCGTATAAAAATTTGAATATAAAAACTGCCCTAATAAATCTGAGCATAAAAAAACAATTTGTCCAGAACAATATAGAGTGAATAGTACCTCTAATATACTGTTGATCCTGTCTTTTTTGCCAACAATACCACAAAATTCATTTCTTACCCAAAAGTTTGACTCGAGTGTAACACTTTATCAAATTTATTGCCAGAAAAATTCATGATTTTCCGATCATTTTTGAAACTTTTTCTGACTAGTAAGTGTGCACGTGCAACGCACGTCTATTTGAACTAATAAGTGTGCACGCGCAACACGCGTCTATTTGAATTAACACACTATACTAAACTTAATACAAGACAACTTATTTATAAATTTGAATTTTCCCTATAAAATACACAATCTCTTATTCCCTACTCATACAAACAATTTGAAATATCGTTTCTCCTTAATCAACATGTCTCCTGTATTAAAAGACCACCCAGTGTTCCCAATGTATAAAACTCAAAATTATTTAGAAGATTCATCATGATTCTTCATATGCACACATTTATGCAAGTATAATCACACATGAAAATGTCACTTAGGACAAGCTAAGGAACCGTTTCACTGCCAACAAACTCCAGTCAAGAATTATTATTACAATTGAGTGTCAACCACAATAGTGGGAAGAGACCTCTATGGTTTGTTGAAAAGAGGAAGCCATTGTCAGATAAAGAAGTGTAGAGATGTCTTGACTGCATAGAATCAGCTGTGAAACAAGACAAAAAAATGCTAGTTGGACCATCCGATTCTACTATTGCACAAAAGTGTCGTAATGTCTGGAAGCAAGAAAAGTGATTTACTTTATTATGAAAATAGGACATGTAAACCAAATAAAAATTACAGTGATAAATTGCATAATTATACTTGTTATTCACTGGTCAAAAGCATTAATACGACAACTTGGAACAATTACTTGAGTACTACACATTTCTTTAAGGGCTCAACATTCTAAAATTTTGACAATATAACAAATATCCTCTCAGTTTGTAGTAATAATGATATGAAGATAAATAATTTGGAAATGGTCTTCAACATGTGTACGCTACCACTTGTAAGAATAACAGTGGCAAAAAAGGCCAACAAATGCCGGTTTAGAAAGAAAAATCTGCAGACATGCTTCCAATTTTAGCAACTCTAGTGGGTAAAACATACCTTACCTCTCAAGTCAGGAAATAGTCAAACGAAAAAATGTACTTCTTATAAGTAATAGAGATGAAGTCATAAGTATCATGATTCAAGATATTCAGAGAAACATGGTCGGTCTCTCTGTATGATGCGAACTTGTCACCTCTACCAAAGTGGTCATGCGTAGTATGTAATGTAGAGTGCAATAATAAAATAAAATAAATGATATGAGAATTTACCATGACCACAAAATATCCTAAATTCGTCATCATCATAATCAACATGCATTTTTTTGCTTCTCTTGTATGTGGTCCAAGTTTTCTATCAGGAAAACATGTTAACTCAACTATAGATAAGGACGGTATGAAAATGCTCATGTAAAATTACAATTGCCATGTATCTGCTGGACAAACAAATACACTTATGCAAACTTCAGGGTTTTTTAGTAAAACTTATGCGAACTTTATTTTTTTTCACTAAAACTTATGCAAACTTCTGGGTTTTTTTCACGTAATTTCATGACTGCAAGTAAGGTCTTGGTTCAGCAAATTCTTCTGTGAGTTCACTGCGTAGTCGTGAGTTGGCCATGTAATAACCGGTAGTCAGTACTTAAAAAACAAGGATGTCTGTTACAGGTACGCGAAAATTAGCGAAAAAATAAAGAAAGAAAGAAGGCATTGGTTTCCTGAAACCCAACTGTGTGTGCTCCAGCGCGCCTCTGTTTCTCATTGCCTCATCTCTAGTTCCTGTACTTCTAGATGTGTCACCACCGGCGAGGTAGCGATGACAGTAAAAAAAACACTCGGTGCTTACCTGATTAGTGCGTGCGTGCGGCGCGTTCGCGTGAAGGCGAGCGTCTCCGTCGTTAAGGTCTGCGAGCGGCCCTGGCGACCGTGTCCTCTCACCAGCTGGACGGTGTTGTCGATGCACGTGAATCAGTCGTCCAGCTTTGTGGCGGCGCCCTCCATGCACTGGGGCGCCCCCACTCGATTTTTTGCCCGCTTATACTGGTCCAGGATACTCAGCGTTGCCCCCACTTGAAGGGCGTCGGCGGTGGGTGGTTGTCAGCGTGGGTGTTGTGGACAGAGCTGAAGTCGACGCGGATGCCGGTGGTTCCCGGAGAGCAGGCCAGGACGTGGACGAAGTCGTTGCAGTCAGTAGAAAAGTGACTTGGCTTCCAGGCAGAAGATGAAAGCGGCGACGACACGTGTGTGTGTTCGGAGGAAGCCGCAGCTCCTCCTCGCGTGTCTCCCACTGTGGCTCGCGTGGGTGGTGGGCTGGTGACGGCTGGCGACTCGCGATCGCGATTCCCGAGACGATAGGATGCGCTCGCGATTAGTTTCCTAATAATTAGATACGTTCATGATTAGTTATCTAATAGGATACGTTCGTGATTAGTTTCCTAATAATTAGATGCGTCCATGATTAATTTCCTAATAGGATGCGCGTGATTATTTTCCTAATAATAGGATGCGCCCGTGATTAGTTTCCTAATATGCGTTTGTGATTAGTTTCCTAATAATTAGATATGCCCGTAATTAGTTTCTTAATAGGAGTGTCCATGATTATAGTTTCCTAATCGACCGGACATGGACTTTCATATTTTCCTCCGCGGTGGAGTACGGTCAGTCAATGTAAATTGCTAAGTGCACACAGATAACAAATTAGGTTAAGGCTAGCCATTAGATTGAGTTTAGTGGGACTAATCATACGGTAATAATGTATCCGTGTACGTTTTGTGGGGTGCACTTAGAGAAGATAATGTTTGCTTTTTTATAAGTAGTATAGAAAAACGGGTGCACCTACTTCAGGTTCCATTCGGGGCCCCTTCCGGTTGACGGTCCATAAGAGCCCCCAGGCCATCAGGACCCTGAGCCCATGTAAATCCCGCTCCTGAGGCCCAAACGGTATTACCAAATCCGTTCGGGTGGGAGAGTGGATAAGAGTGTGTATCCTTCCCAGCGAGCTCAACGCCAGAGCAGAGAACGCACACCGCAATGGCGTCGCCGTCGTGTGCCTCCAAGCTGCCCTGGACCGCCGCCGCCTCCTCCCCCTCCTCCACGCGCCGCCTCCAGACGCGACGCGCCCCGTCGCTCGTCATCGTCGCGCAGGGCAGGGTCAAGAAGTACCGCCAGGTCCGTCCGTCCGTCACTCCCCCTCCCCGCAATTCTTCTTTCCTGCAGACATTCGCCTCCGTAGATTGGAACAACTGAAAATCATCAGGATAGTAGTAGTGCTTTGCAGAGGCTCGAGCTAGTTTCTAGCTTTCCCGGTGGCCGGTGACATTGTTTTCTTCAGGAAAAATGTATCTGACAGACTGACACTGTCAAGAAACAGTAGTAATGTGGCATACTATCATCCGACCCCCCACTCATCGGGGAGGGGGCCGATGAGTGTGTGCAAATGGCCACGGCCCACGGGAAGTCGAAATGTTGGCCATCAGCTTCGTGCTTGTGCTTGTACAACCACAGCAACTGTTTCTGTTTGTTTGGTCGCTGCTCCCTAGAGTAGAGGTAGAGCAGAAGTCGTTTTGACACCTGAATCCATTAGATGTTCTAGCGGTTGGATGGTTGCACGATGATTTGTTAGTTCTAGCAATGGGCTGATGGCACGGCGGTTTGATTGCGTGCGGCAAATGCGACCACAACGTGCCATCATAGTGGCCTGACATACTAGTTATGTGTGGTTCTGACTCTGTTTTCATTCGATTGGTTTGGTGTTGTGTAGGTCATACTTAAGGACGACATCGATGAGATTAGCGGCAAGAAGGGGGACACGATGAAGGTCCGGGCCGGGTTCTACCGCAACTTCCTGCTCCCCAAGGGCAAGGCCACGCTGCTCACCCCCGACGTCCTCAAGTAACGTCCCTGCCTCCTGCTGCAGTCGTTTGCGTGCCATATCTTTGCATTTACTGTGTAGGTCATGTTTCTCAGTTGTTACTGATAGGCAGCACTAACGATATTCGGTCCATGTTTGCTTATTGACTGTCAACTGCTCATCGATGCGCTTTGCAGTATGTTTTTCCCGTGCCCACAAATTCGGATTCGCATTGCGTAATAATTCAGTGGCACGTTTCCTTGTAAGATTTCCAAGAGCAGGCAACGTAGGTTGCTTGCCATTTTCATTAAGATTGGAAAAGCAATTTAATACAAGGAGGGTGAGTCATTTTGAAGCCTTGTGAATGCTTGTTTTAAGGGATGTTTTGTACATTTACTTTCTGAAGGCTGGATTGATTTTCAGCCTGATTGAGACATTAGTCTGCATATGTTATATTTGGATCGAGCATGTGTTAAAACACAGAAGTATTCAACAGAGGCAATGTTCAGTCTGGTGTATGAACAAAACTAAGATTAGTAAGTTTGTTTCCTCTGCTTTTCTTTGCAGGGAAATGCAAGTGGAGCAGGAGAGAATCGAGGCTGAAAAGAAGAGGGTAAGAGAATACTGTATATATTTGAAGGGTTGATAACAAAAATACGATTGCAGTTTTAGCTTAGCATCTTAGATGTCCAAAAAAGTAAGCAACGGTTGCGGACTTGATCATATATCCTTATTTTGTGGAAAAGAAAGCATAGTTGCAGTTCAATATCTTAGTATCTAAAAGCTTAAGCGCACTTGGGTTTTGACCTTATATCCTTTATTTTCTAGGAAGAATCATAGTTGCACCTTAACCTAGTATCTTTGTGTATAGAAGAGTAAGCATAGTTGTAGTTTAACCTTACTATCCTTATTTTCTGGACAAGGAACTTGGATGCAGCTTAACCTTAGTACCAACATTCTGAAAACGGTAATTATTTAGCACACCACATTCTTGTGAAACAATGGCCTTGGCATAAACTCCGGAATCATTTTGAACTTGAGTAGGTAAAAGAAGAGGCACAGCAACTCGCGCGAGTCTTCGAAACCATCGGGGCGTTCAAGGTGCCACGTAAAGGTGGCAAAGGAAAGCAGATCTTCGGGAGGCAAGTCCTAGTTGCACAATTTCATCGTCTCACACATTTCTCGTTTTCTCCAATTCACATCCTCTCACACATTTCCTGTGCCTCACACAGCGTCACGGCGCAAGATCTCGTCGACATCATCAAGTCACAGCTTAACAGGTAGCAATTCCTTCCTTTCAAGTGTGTACAGCAAGTAGTTAAACTTCCCATCATGGTCGCTTCTACGGGCAAATTGATCACTGAACCGCGGAAACCATGTAGGGACGTGGACAAGCGGCTGGTGGAGGTCCCGGAGATCCGCGAGGTCGGGGAGTACGTCGCGGAGATCAAGCTCCACCCCGACGTCACAGCCAAGGTGAGGCTGACTGTGTATGCCAAGTGAGCCGGTCGCAAGCAGGGCATTCAGTGGATGGTGAAGTCTGCAACTGTTGTGCCTGGGAGCTAGCGAGGATGCCTTGTATACATTAGGAGAAGCGTGGAGGAAGTGAAATCTGTTGAAATTTTTACCAAGTGAATGTGTGAAATCCTTTTTTGTTCATTTGTCGGCAGAGACCCATTTGCTAAATAAATTAGGTATTCTATCCATTGGTTGACGCTATCCTCGTCATGATCCTACTTGTATTGTATAAGCAACTCAGAGTGTAGTATATCTATAACTGTAAAATACTACTACTAT